AAGTTTATCTGTGCATAAGAAAATATTATACTAAAAGATTCATTTAAAAAAAATTAATATGTGGTTAGAGTGCAGGACTGTAGAAACTGAAGTTTTTATCTGTGCATAAGAAAATATTATACTAAAAGATTCATTTAAAAAAAATTAATATGTGGTTAGAGTGCAGGACTGTAGAAACTGAAGTTTATCTGTGCATAAGAAAATATTATACTAAAAGATTCATTTAAAAAAAATTAATATGTGGTTAGAGTGCAGGACTGTAGAAACTGAAGTTTTTATCTGTGCATAAGAAAATATTATACTAAAAGATTCATTTAAAAAAAATTAATAGTGGTTAGAGTGCAGGACTGTAGAAACTGAAGTTTTTTCGTTATTCGAGTACTGTAAACACAAAAACATAAATCAATAGTTCTCCGCAATTTTGGGTTGTGTGTGCATTATAAGAGTGACGGTCAAACCCAACTATCTGATCTAACAAGAGTAACCCAGAGCCCCCCCCCCCAGTAGCACAGCGGTATGTCTGCGGACTTACAACGCTAGAAACCGGGTTTCGATACCCGTGGTGGGCAGAGCACAGATAGTCCATTGTGTAGCTTTGTGCATAATTACAAATAAACAATAAGGGTAGCCCAGAAGTTGACGATGGTTGGTGTTAACTAGGTGCTTCCCCTAAGTCTTGGAAATTAGAAATGGCTAGATATCTCTCATATAGCTTTGCGCGAAATCCAACAAAACTAATAAGCCCGTCCCCCCTTTTTGGGGTGACTAGCCACACAAGAACATTAGGTAATAAAGGTTAGACTAATAATAAAGCTAACCCGGATAATCCGGTGATTATGTTCCGCCCATTGAGCTATATATACATATCACGGTCTTAAATCACGTCGTTTAGTCGGCCCTGACCAGTTAGAACACCCGTTGGTCGACAAAAATACCAAAAAAATAATAATTATAATAATCTTAAATTTTCTTATTTTACCTTGTGATAAGACACGCATTTCTATACTATTTTCTTAAAACCACAGTTGTATTTTCGTCTCTGAAAGTATCTTCGTATCTTCTTTATTTCAATCCCCCAAGTGAAGCCTCTAGCTTTCTGGGGATTCCTGGCCTATGACTTCAGAAAATAAAACAAGGTTCGTGGAACATGTGAATGGCGAGATCGATTGTTTGTTTGTTTTCAATTTCGCGCAAAGCTACACGAGGCCTATCTACGCTAGCCGTCCATAATTTAGCAGCGTAAGACTAGTGGGGAGGCAGCTAGTCATCACCACCCACCGCCAACTCTTGGGCTACTCTTTTACCAACGAATAGTGGGATTGATCGTCACATTATAACGCCCCACGGCTGAAAGGGCGAGTATGTTTGGCGGGACGGGGATTCGAACCCGCGACCCACAGATTGCGAGTCGAGCGCCCTAACCACCTGGTCATGCCGGGCCGACGACTTATGATTACAAATGTGTTGAAAATTAACATGTCAACAGTGCACTATTTTTTTTTTCCAATATAAATAATTCTACAATACTTAATAAAGCTACAGGTAACTTACTGATAGATACATAGTTTAGGATTAATTTAAATTTTAAAATAATTAAAATTAAACACAAAGTTATGAACATTTAAATACGCATGAAAATAGACCGACGTATCGCTCTTTTGTTTTTCAAAAACGTTTGAGCATCCAAATACACAACAGTTGCGGTGACGTTCTTCCAGCACTTGTATCTCCGACAAAAAAAAAAAGGAACTCGACTGGCACGGACAGTGAACGACAGAGACCTCTCTAGGCTATACTATATTGAGCTCACTGGTGCCTTCATTTAATCCTGATTCAACTGTATAATGTTATGGAACCGGAAACATTGGTGGTGCTATGAACTTTAGATAAATTTCGCCGAAAAAACGAAGGATAGGTGTGGTTTGAATTTCGCACAGAACTATACGAGGGCTATCTTCGCTAGCCGTCCATAATTTAGCAGTGGAAGACTAGAAGGAAGGCAGCTAGTCATCACCACCCGCCGCCAACTCTTGGGCTACACTTTTACCATTGAATAGTAGGATTGACTGTGACATTCTAACGCCATCACGGGTGAAAGGGCGAGTATGTTTGGTGAGATGGGGACTCGAACCCGCGACCAAAAGATTGCGAGTCGAGCGCCCTAACCACCTGACCATGCTAGGCCTAAAACGAAGGAGAAGCTCTGGTCATGTTTGGAAATTTTCCACAGTACGTTAAACGGAGAGTGTAATATGCTTAGATTAATGTTCACATTGCACGTGGTTGTAAATGTGTGTGTTTTCCCTCATAAATGTTATTACTTGAACAACATGCTCATCCATTTTGTAAATATAAATCTGGAAGAAAGGTCCATATAGGGTACTTCATAAATATCATTTTTACAATGACATCGATCATATAGTCCATAAGAAAATCACAATTAAAGCTCAGGTTACTTGAATGATAGCGTCTATAAGTGATATCACTACAAAACTGAAGAGAATAATTAGAGCACCAGATTTACCTATTAAAATAGTACAAGAGCCAAGCATCTCCACTAAATTATTAATAAGAAGTTCAGCATATATAAAAGAAACACAATGTGTAAAATATAACTATATAGTCGCTACATGATCGGTGTCTTTGTAAGAACGTTGTTTATGAAGTAACCTGGCTGATGCTCTGGTACATGTATGGAAGAAACATGTCGACCCATACACTATAGAATATCTGAACACATCCAAACACTCAATACTAATATTGCTATTGCTTAATATTATAATATACAGCATTATACACCACAAACAGATAACATTTTATCGGATGTTAAGATTTTATGTAAAAGTCATAGTTTTCTAGATCGAAAGACTGAAACATTCATCTTAATCAAGAAAAATAATTGGTTGGCTTCTAGTGTAGAGATGTTGATTGTATTCTTAAGATTCTAATATGTCTGAATTTTGACGAAACCTCTATACACTTCCACAATGGTTAAAATACAATTTTGATACTGAAATATGTACCTACTGATATAATAGGATAGAATAATACAGATATCTGTAAACATATCTATAGGTACAAACTTTAAGATGTATTCCATATGCATAACGTATTATTTTTCTAAATCCTATTATTTTAATTGTTTACCAATTAATTTACACATATTTTTTACTTACCATTATTGTTTCTGTTTGTTTTAACAGTTTAAGATCGAGAATACATTACAGTTTTTTTTCTCCGAAGATGAGATTGAAAATATAATCTGTACTTAATGCATTTCTTGATTCGCCCTACCCCTTTGCTGTGGACTATAGTTGTGCTTATTTAAGACTCATCAACGCAGCTTGGGTCAGCCAACCAAAGAAATTCGAAAGACCTGTTATAATGGTAATGTGAATATAAGATTTATGGGGTTTTTGAGTTCTTTTTAACTCACCTTATAATAACCTAGAATGATTTAGGTATATAAATAATGTTATGTCATTGCGCTTAACTTAGCTTAACTTATTATTCGATAGTTTACAGCGGACCATTACAGATTCCTTTTCACTAAAGATAAAACTGAAAATATAATCTGCGCATCAATTTAAGCTATCATATATTGAGTGAAAATGACTCAAAAACTTCATAAATAAATCCAAGAATGTTTAATACTATTTTAACCTTTCAAACGTGTGTATCAGTGTTTTATTAATTAACTGGTGACGGTGTTCCAATTTAATTTCAACTGCATTAGCGAACTTGTAGGTTATGGATAGCTCTTGACGAAGCTGTAATATAAAATACTGAGGTAATAGTAATACATTTTGGAAACATGAGTCGTTATTTTATTTATGTTAATAGAAATGTCTAATAAAAAATAGTTTACGTTAAACAAAGCTAAGAATAATAGTATGCACATACACTTTGAAGTTGCAACATTAATATATCTTGTATGTGATTTCTTATATTTATTTTCTGAAGGAGTATTCATAAAAAAAGCGACGATATCACTTTAATTTTTCACCATTGAAACAACTTTATTGAAATTTTGCAGAATATATAAAAATATTACGAAATTAATAATTTTTAACATTAGTCAGACCCACATTAGCAAGCGCAATATACAATATAGGTAGCGCTAAGAAACAATGTGGTTTGATGAGGTAATTTGAAATGGCGACGGTCGGTTTGGATGATAAGCCTCACAATGAAGAAAATCTAAAACAGGTAAAAGAAACAAATAAGCAAGATAACAGTAAAACTAATAGATGTTCGGAAAGTTACGAAAGACTGAAAAAACGTTTAAATGAGTTTGAGGAGCTTTTTGCTAACCGATACACAGAAAGCGATGAAGATTTTATGAAATTGAAAGCTCAACCGTTACCTGATCCTCCTTGTGTATCTCCTTGGGAAGCAGAACCTGTACGAGAGTAAGTATAATCTAAGTAACAAGTTATGTATATTGTATGCATATATATTAATTATTAAACATTCTGTATGCAAATGTTTTTAACGGTTTGATTTGTTTTTTCTTTTATGTGGTGAGAAGGTTAGTACAAAATAACCTAAGAATGATATTAGATTTAAAAACAATTGTATGGAACTTCGTTATCTAATTTTGCAATTATAATATTGTTTAGATTGCACATAGCCCAGAGTTTGGGTTCTACAGTGCT